AGCTTCCTACCCTCCCCAGTTGCCTCCTGGGCCCACTACCTCACTCTGTCTTATGGCAGAATCAGCCCTGGGGATGGTGACAGCAGGCACGGCATCTTCACCTCCAGGAACAAAATGTCTCAGGAACAGCCCTGCTGTCAAATTTCAAATCCCAGCTGGGCTCAGGAACAAACAGCCACTTAGAGCAGAGGCCCCCCAACCTTTTGGGCACCGGGGATCAGTTCCAGGGAGAGAGGGTTTTCCGCGGACAGGAGGGGACCTGGTTTCGTGTGCTGCCTGCATCCCGCAGATGGGGCTTTGCTTGTTTGCGTGGACCGATTTCTAGCACGCCGAGGACCGGTGCTGGTCCACAGCTCGGGGTTGGGGACTCCTGACAGGACAATCCCATCCAACAGCCACAGTCAGAAGATGGAAGGATAAGACGATCACTAGAGATCTCATTTTACCACGTCAACATAATAGTGTCTCTTCCTAAGTGACGCACGTGAGAACCTCATAAATCCATTAAATCCAAGTCCTAACCATTATGTAAAGGCATCAAAAGCTGCAAACAAACTCTACTTTCTGCTGGGTTAGAAAAAAGGATCATCTTTGGGAGTGAACAGCTTCTGGAGAAATCCACCTGAGCTGTTGTGTTGCTAATAAGCGACTAGAATTGCAGACCACCAGCACTCCAAAAGAAAAAAAAGAAAAAAGCCCCAGCTACAAAACCCAAGAGTTATGGCAAAATAATCAAGGAGAATAAGATTGATTTTGGGACCAAGGAGAAAAGCTGTCATGTTCTAACAAGAGGATGTTGTGCTACATATTTCATAAAAGGGGCTCTAGTCTACCACTACATCAATGTATCTCCTGATCCAATCTTCTCAGCTTGGGATTCTTCAGAAGAATTGGACTCCAAAGCCCATCATTCCTTCAGCCAACAGTCATCCAGGCCATGGTTGTCCCAAAGCTGCTTTTTTTTTTTTTCAAAAGGCAACTGGACTTTCTTGGTTTTTCCTTAAAGACGTTTCACTTCTTCTCCTAGAACGGGGGTCTTCAAACTTGGCCCTTTTATGACTTGTGGACTTCAACTCCCAGAATTCCTCAGCCAGGCACACTGGCTGAGGAATTCTGGGAGTTGAAGTCCACAAGTCATAAAAGGGCCATGTTTGAAGACCCCTGTCCTAGAAGCTTCTTCAGATCGTGGATGAGAAGCGAAACGTCTTCAAGGGAAAACCAAGACAGTCCAGTTGCCTTTTGAAAAAGCACCTGTGGGGACAATGACAGGCAAGGTGAAGTCCAAGACCTTTAGAAGGTACAGGATGGAAAAGGTGGACCCAGTGATCCAAGATGCTTCACATCTCTTGTTAAGAGTTTGCTCTAACAGACTAACATGCAACTAGCATGCAACTGACTAACATGCAACTGACTAAATCTGGATAGCTCTGGCTGGCTGGGGGAGGTTAGTGGGGCAGCATTCCCATCCTGACCAGCAGAAGGAAAGCCCATGGGCCCTGAAATGAAGCCAATCATGGAAACTGTAGCTCCACAGTTAACCTTATGTCAGGGGTCTTCAAACGTGGCCCTTTTATGACTTGTGGACTTCAACTCCCAGAATTCCTCAGCCAGGCACGCTGGCTGAGGAATTCTAGGAATTGAAGTCCACAAGTCATAAAAGGGCCAAGTTTGAAGACCCCCCTGCCTTATGTCAACTCAGGGCTGCACACGGTCCTCACTCAAGAGGTCTCTTCAAGAGCTTAACACAGTTGAGTTTCGAAGAGGGAAAGAGAAAATAATTAAATGTACGGGGAGCAGTCCAGTTAATTGTCATTTCAATTAATTTTAATTTAATCACATGTTGTTTTTCCACTTGGTTCCATCCACTTTTTTCCCCAGTTCTTTTTTGGAACTATTTGGGAAGATCTATAGCCCACCTTTTTCCCCCAGAAGCTTATAGTAGCTTACAAGAAGATCTTTCTTTTATCCTCAAAATGACCCTGTAAAGTAGGTTAGGTTGAAAAAGAGAGAGTGGCTCAAACCCAGTGAGTTTCTATTGGCTGTTGGTGGAATTCAAACTGGGATTCCCCAGTTCAAGTTTAGCTTTACCTGCCATATCATAGCTCTTCCCCATCAAGGGACTCAAACACAAGTGCAATTCTCACCCCAAAAAAAGAGAGCTTAATGATGATATAAATTTAATACTCATGCTGCCGGTGCAGAAATCCTGACACGGAACTAATACTGAATAAAAAGGACCAGCCCTTAACATACACTAATGTACGTAACAGTATATTACCCAACTGTATAAAGCAACTCTTAATCACAACTCTTAATAACATGGGGATACACAGATGTAGCAGTAATTCTATGGGGTTTTCTATTATACAAAGCCACAAAATAATTTTGAGTGGGGAAAAGAATTCCTAGTGGGCAAAGATTTTATTTGGGGAGGTGCATCATATCTTAAGGATTGGTTTTTTTTCCCCTTGTTCTCTCTTCTGCTTTAGATCTGGTTCTAGGAATCTTTCAGATCAAGTAAAAAATCTTGACAGATGCAGATAAGCATCGGGAGGAAAAAGAGAAGAGAAGCTGCATTATAAAGGAGATGTGAAAAGACAGATTTGGGTTGCATCCAGAGTCGTAATTCTTCCTCTTTCATTTTGCTGAAAAGCATGTGTGCTGGACAGAGGCTGATCTTGGAAAAACAGCCTGTCAGCTTTTAAAAAACTTGTTATTTACGACCACAAGCCACGATTTGCCACGCCACCTAAGCCAGCAAACATTACTGCTGGCCTTCCACACTGACACAACAGCCATCTGAATTCTACCAGAATCTAATGGGGAAGGGGGTGAAACAAAGCACTGAACACATGCTGAATCATATGTATTTTTTATTTCCCCCCTTCAAAGGAAGTCAAACAAACAAACAAACAAACAAACAAACAAGTTGCAGGGGCGGAAAAAGTCCAAAGCTTCTGGTGTCCCTTGAAAAACTAAACGAAGGATTAACAATAGATCAAGTTGAGACACCTGCTGTTCTGCTTTTCCCATGTCATTATTCACAGAGAGGAAAAAAAGCATCCCTTAGCCTGTTCCTATGGCTTTTACACCAGCAGCTGTTTTTTTTTAAAGACTGTCACAGTATATTATATAATATACATTTACACAGACACACTAACACACACACAGACACACACTCCTTCAGCACAGCAAAGAGGTCAGCCACCCCAAACCACTCTGGAATCCTGGAAATAAGTGGCCACAAACTTGTCTCTGCCACCCCAGGAGAATTCACATTACTGGGGTGGGGGTGGGAGGAGAAGTAGAGGCAGCAACTTAATGGGGAGAAGAATGACTGGGTGGGGAGGGGGGTATCTAGATGGATGAGTGATGTGAAAGGGGGGAGGGAAGCCTAAAAGCAGATTTTTCTCTCCCAGCTTTAAAGCCCAAGTCTATCCAATAGGCTGGACAGGAGATAATGCAGATCCCTTTCCCGAAGGCTCTAGTAAGATTTTTTGCTTAGGTCTCTGGGAATCTCAAAATGTCTAATTTAGTGCAAAGGAAAGCGGAGAGAATTCTCCTCTTCTACATAGGGAGGATCGTGGGAAGCCGCCTTGGAGGGAGATCCAGAAACAGGACTCCCACCTTAATGTAAAGGAGACAGAGGAGACCCGCAAAAAGGGGGGGAAAGTGATGGTTGCCCCTCACTCACTCTCTCTCTCTTTTCCCCTTTCAATGGGCGCGCAGGCTGCTTGGGATCGCCAGCTGCGAGGGAACCACAAGAAGGAGCAAATGTGGGAAGCAGAGCCAGGAAGAGCAGCTGCTTTGGGATCCGGCTGCGCCAGTTAAAGGGGTCGGACGACCCTCGGCCACGTGTGTGTGTGTGTGGGGGGGGTGAGAACCGCTCCCAGCGCCTGGGCGAGGAACACCGGGACCCCCCCTCCCCAACCCACGACCCTGCTTTGGCTCGAGTCCAAGCGAGCAAGGCAGGGATCGGGGCGGAATCCTGGGTCGTTTCGGCTCTCCGCAGCCACGCGGCCGGCCGGCCGGCCGGAAGAGCCTCTGAGCAGGTGCAGAGCGCCCGCCGCGAAGGAGCTACAGCCAAGGGGGGTGGACATGGGCCGCTTCCCCCCCCCCGCCTCCCCACCCGTTGCGGAGAAAGCCCGCAGCATCTCTCTCCGTCCTCCCAGGAGGGGAGCTCGTCCGGGCGGGCGGGCGGGCGGCTTCCCCGGCCCCTCCGGAAGGCAGCTAAGGCGGCCCCACCAATGGGCGAGCGGCGGACTCCCCGACCCCTCCCCAGCGTTACGCAATAGGCCCGGCTCCCGGGCGCTCCCCGAGCCCGCTCCCCCCCCTCCCCGGCCAGGCTGGATGGAAAGGCAAGCGGTTAACCCCTTCCTCCCCCTCCTCCTCCTCCCCCTCCTCTCCCTCCCCCTCCCAGGCGCTTTGCCCCCTCGCTCCCCAGGGCAGCCCCTCCCCAGCGGCTCTCCTCTCCCCCCCTCCAATTG